TTTTTACTTAGGTATACATCAGTTAACATTTGTCATTTGAAACTTGTCTAATTATTTATAAAAATACTCAGATAATTATTTAAAGTTTGATTTAAATGTTTCAGTTAAATGATACATATGTGACATCCATATATTTGTAATAACGCTTCGACTGAAGATCTCTTATTTAACTCTGAATTCAAATCTGAATATCTTACTAGAGACAATTTTGAATTTGCAACTATTAATACAAGTCTTAAGGTAAAAGCACAGGCTTTTGCATAACACATAATACATAACACATAAGAGAATAAACCAATTAGTTTTCTTCATTTCCCTCCTCAGGACAGAAATGACGAACTCTGATTGGTTGATTTTCTTATGCGTTGTATATTATGCATTATGCAGAAGTCTGTGCTCTCGCCCTTAGAGTTAGATACGCATAATATATTAGGTGCGCAACTAAGTTCTCGCTGTTTTTTTGATGAAAATGCAACTTTATTGTGAAAAAATGGTTACAAATGAATCATTCAAAATATTGCCCATCACTAGCGACAACTTTTTCTCATCTTTCTGGCAGAGCTCGAATACCGTCACGGTAGAAGTGTTCGTCTTTTGAGGCTATCCACGAATCAAGCCATTTTGAGATGTCTTCATATGAGCGGAACTGCTGATTAGCCAGACCATGTGCCATCGAACGGAACAAGTAATAATCGGACGGCGCAATATCTGGGGAATATGGCGGGTGGGGTAGGACTTCCCATTTGAGCGTTTCTAAGTAGGTTTTAACGGGTTTGGCAACGTGAGGCCGAGCGTTGTCATGCTGTAGAATCACTTTTTCGTGCCTCTGCTCGTATTGTGGCCGCTTTTCGCGCAGTGCTCGGCTCAATCGCATCAATTGAGTTCGATACCGTTCCCCAGTGATGGTTTCGTTCGGTTTCAACAGCTCATAATAAATAACACCGCCCTGGTCCCACCAAATACACAGCAAAACCTTCGCAGCGTGAATATTCGGCCGAGCCGACGACGTAGAAGCATGACCGGGTAGTCCGCATAATTTTGTTCTCTTTGGGTTGCTGTAATGAATCCATTTTTCATCACCCGTAACGATGCGATGAAGAAAACCCTTCCTTTTTTGCCGCTGGAGCAGTTGTTCACATGCGAAAAAACGACGCTCAACGTCTCTTGGCTTCAAATCATAAGGAACCCAAGTTCCTTGTTTTTGAATCATTCCCAACGCATGCAATCGCTTGGAAATGGCTTGGCGGGTAACTCCTAATGCTGAAGCAGGCTCTTTTTGCGTTTGGCACGGATCCTCATCGAGCAATGCCTCCAATTCAGCGTCTTCGAAGGTTTTTGGCCTTCCTTCACGCGAACGGTCGTCAACATCGAAATCACCGTCTTTGAAGCGACGGAACCAATCACGACACGTTGTTTCACTTAGAGCAGCATCTCCGTAAACTTTTTGGAGTTCTCGATGCGCTTCAGCCGCCGTTTTCTTCGAATGAAAGAAGAAAAGCAACACTTCCCGCAAATGACGATTATTTGGCACAAAATAAGACATTTTCACACAACCAAAAGTATATGAAAACAAAATCACTAATGTGTCAAAGCGGTTTGTTTACCATATGTCTAAGCTTGGTTCATGACGTTTTGGTTATGTCACAATCGACCAGCACTTACTACTGGAGCCATCTCTTGAAAAACAGCGGAAACTTAGTTGCGCACCTAATACTTAAGGCTTGTTTTAATATTGGAAGTACAAATTAGTTCGGTCCGCTTTTTGTGTTAAAAAATGTATTTATTTCAAAACAACATGAATGAACATATCAATTAAAGTATTTTCCATCGCTAGCTACTATTTTCTCCCATTTCTCAGGCAATTTTCGAATTTCATCTCGAAAAAATGACTCGTCTTTTGAGGCGATCCAAGTTTGGAGCCAATTTTCGATTTCTGCGAAAGAAGTGAACCGGTGACCCGCCAAATCGTGCTGCATCCTTCGGAACAATCAGTAATCAGAAGGAGCAATGTCCAGAGAATACGGCGGGTGCGGTAAAACATCCCATTTGAGCGTTTCCAAATATTTTTTTACAACTTTTACGACATGAGACCGAGCGTTGTCATGAAGAAGAATAACTTTATCATGTCTTTGCTCGTATTCCGGCCGCTTTTCCGGCTCGTATCCAGGTCTCAACGGCTTGTTGAGTCACTCCCAATGATTCTGCAAGCTCCTCTTGCGTTTGACTCTGATCTTCTCCGAGTAATGCCTCTAATTCATTGTCCTCGAATTTTTTTGGCTGTCCAGAGCGAGGCTTGTCTTCAACGCTGAAATATCCATCCTTGAAACGTCGAAACCATTCCCTACATGATTTATCAGTTGGAGCAGCGTCACCATAAACTTCAATAAGCATTCGATGGGCTTCAGCTGCATTTCTTTTCTTCGAATTAAAGCAGAAAATTAAAACCTCCCGCAAATGCTGCTTGGTTAACACAAAATTCGACATTTTCAACACTGTAAAAAGCAAGGTTTTTGTATGAAACTCAAAGCGATATAAACTGAATATTATTGGCAGATGTCTAATCTCTTTGAAACCGCCAAAATCGGCAGTCACTATGAACCATTCATAACAGCCGAAGCCATCTTTTGAAAACGGACCGAACTAATTTGTACACCTAATATCATAATTTTAAAGTTGTCTAGTAAAGTATTCATATTCGAATTCAGAGTTAAATGATTACTAATATATTATCTATTACAAGTGCAGAGATTTCAGGATGTACAATAACGATTAGGTATGTATGTATGTATTTTTTTATTGTTTTCCCTCAGGAATTACAATTCGCTTCTCCCTCTATCGCCGTCTTACACTTTACATCCGCGTCTCTCTCCTCCTAGCCCTGCCACACACGCACACACCCCTCTCTCCTATCTACTTACTTGACTTACATACTACTTATTTTTACTTTTAACTTATTTCTAACTTACATCTATCTTACTTACTACTTATCTCTACTTAAATCTACTTATTATCTATTTTGGACCTTCCGCTTCCGAACCTTCCTTTCTCTCTCCCCCCACTCGGTTTCTGCCCCCTTCCTCCATCCTTTTATCCTCTTCATCCACTCCTCCCCCTCTCCTCTTTCACCCAACATCTCCACTATCTCTGCCCGACCCACTTCTTCCCCTCCTTCCCACCTCATACATTCCTTCCATACGTGCTCCCATGTCTCTTCTTCCTTCTCGCACACCCTATTTCCTTTTCTCTTCCTTCTCCCAATACTCTCTCTCTTATTTCATTTTTTATCCTGAATCTCCATACCCTCCTCCATCTCCCTTCTGCCCATTCCTTCTCTAAGTATTCCGGTATCCCTTCTCCTTTCACATACTTGTACCATTTATTGTACCTCGATTCCTTTATTCTTTTCCATCTCTCCTTCCATTGCAGTTCACTATCCTTTTTTTCCACCTCTTCATATTCCATTGTCTCCCATATTTCTTCCCCTATCTCTCTCTCCCTCATGAACTCCCTTCTCTCCTGTTCCCACTTTCCTAATACCCTCTTCCGCTTCTACTTCTCCTTCATTTCCTGCCAACATTTCCTTGCCACCTCTCCTCTCTCTCCCTCTTGCAGCTTCCTCTCGAAATTCTATGCTCTCTTCCCTGCTCTCCCCCTCATCTTCTCTCTCCCCGTCTCCTCCCTTACCAAGTACCCTGGCGTTCTTCCTTCTGTCCCCATTGTCCATCTTATCTACCTATCGTGTGTCCCTTCTAATTCTTTCCTTTCCTTCCATCCCCATACCTCTGCTCCATACCCCATCACCGTCCATACCAGCGTACCATACAACCATAGTTTTCTCTTCCAGTCCCATACCCTCTTCCTTATTCCCCATACCACTCTCATTGCCACCGCCGCCTTTCTATTCCTTTCTCTTATCTGCCCGTCTTGTCCTCCATTACTCTGTACTATATATCCTAGATATTTATATTCTTTTACTTCTTCCAATCTTTTTCCCTTCCATCTCCATTCTCTCTTCTTTTTCCTTCCCCCTTCCTTTCTGAACCTCATTACCTTTGTTTTTTCCGTATTCAGTTCTAATCCTTTCCTTTCTAGGTATTTCTCCAATCTCGCTATCATCGCCCTCATCTCTTTCTCTTCCTCTGCCATCAACACGACGTCGTCTGCATACGACAGCGTATATACTTTTTCCTCTCCTACCTTAACCCCTCCCCATTTTCCCTTTTGCATCTCCTCCAAGTCTGCTATCAATATGTTAAATAATATCGGACTCAATGGACATCCCTGTCTAACTCCCTTCGCTATCCAAAACTCTTCTCCTATCTCCTCCCCCACTCTCACCCTGCTCTTTATTTCCCTTATTACTTCTTCTGCCCTATTCACCAATCCCTCTCTTACTCCTCTTTCCCTCATTGCCTCTATCAATTTGCCTCCGCGCTCTCGATATTTTTCTCTCCTCGGAACGAAAAATGAGATGCAGGTCCCGAACGCACGGCATCCCGTCGCCACCTAGTACGCTCTCCTTCTTTCATGGTGGATCCCCCTTCGGCGCGTTGCAAAACGTGTCCAAGCGCCCGGGGGCAGCCAAAATATGGCGTCGACCCCGGGGCTTATTTCTATTATTTGCATCGGATAAGGAGGGGCAACGGTGGAGGCCGGCATACATGGACAGCAGGTCTTAAAAGGATAGCAACCTTTGACTTTGAGAGACTGTCAGCTTGTACCACCAGGTACAAGTAACAATGCCTCTCTCTGTAGTCGCCATGCGCTCGGGATAGCACTAGAGATGTCGCTTCCGAACGACATCTCTCAACGTTATCTGGGGAGGGGAGAGTGTCGTGAGCGTGGAGCGTCAGATAGCTCAGTGGTCTAGAGCAGTCGCCCGGCAAGCGAAAGACCCGGGTTCGATTCCCGGTCTAGCGACTACCGCGCTCTCGATATTTTTCTCTCCTCGGAACGAAAAATGAGATGCAGGTCCCGAACGCACGGCGTCCCGTCGCCACCTAGTACGCCCTCCTTCTTTCATGGTCAAACGCCGCATTTAAATTTACAAACATCGCTATCAATTTCCCTCCTTTCTTTCCTAGTTGTCTATTGATCAGGTAGTTCAATACGTACATATCAACTGATCCTATCCCCTTGCTGAAACCTGCTTGACTCTCTGACAGTAGTCTTTTCTCTTCCACCTCTTCCCTCACTCTTTCTGCTAACATTGCCGTGTAGATCTTGTATAACGACGGCATCAATGTTACCCCTCTATATTCCGTTACCTTCTCTCCTTTTCCTTTCTTCCTTATCGGTATTATTATTCCTTCTTTCCAATCCTCCGGCCACTCCTCTCCTTCCCATACCCTTCTGCATACCTCCCATGCCCATTTCTCTATTTCCTCCCCTCCATATTTCCACACCTCATTTAGTATTCCATCTTTTCCCATCGCCTTCCTTCAACTTCCTTATTACCTTTCTTATCTCTTCTCTCTCTATTTCCTCTTCCCTCTCATTTCCCCCCTCCTTGCTTCTCCTCTCACTATTCTTCTCTCTACTCCTAACATTCTCATGAAATGCTCCTTTCATTCCCTCATTTTTATCAATTCATTTATTCTCTTCCCTCTGCCCCTCTCCCTTCTCACTATCTCCCACACTTTCCCCTCTGTTTTTGCCTCCTTCGCTTCTTTCTCCCATCTTTCTCTCTCTTCCTCCCTCTTTCTGTCACATAACTTTTTATATTCCCTTTTCTTTTTCCTATATTCCTCACCTCCCCTCCCTTTCCTCTTCTCCACTTCCTTAGTTCTCTTCTCACCTCTCCCTTCCTCTCCTTACATTTTTTATCCCACCACTCCTTCCTGTTCTCTTTTCCTCCTTCTTTTCCTTCCTCTCCCTTTTTTATCACCTTCCTTATCCTTTCTTCCATCATCCTTATCTCCCCCCCCACTCTTTCTCTTCCCCTTTGTATCCTTCCCATTTCCCTTAAAAATTTTTCTATTCCTTCCTTATCCCATCTCCCCCTACCGGGCCTTTCCTTCCTTCTTCCTTCCTTCTTTCTCCTTTCTCATTCTCCCTTTATCCATATCCCATTGATTGATGGTCTGAATTTACATCCTCCCCTATTTCTATCTTCTCTATCTCCTCTATTACCTCTTCATTTCCCAGAGCATAGTCAACTACTGACTCTCCCCTCCCCTCTGCATGTGTGTATTCTCCCCCTTCATCCCCTTTCACTCCTCTGTTCAAGATGACCCATCCCCTTTCCTCTATAATGTGCACCTTCCCTCTCCTTCCCTCCTTATTTACCGTTTTGTCTTTTGAGCATCTCTCTTTTCCTCCTCTTCTCCAATCCTCCCTTTCTCTCCATCTCCCTTCCTCTCCGGTCCTTGCATTAAAGTCTCCCCCTATTACTGTCCTACTTTCCTCTTCCCTTTCTTCCAACCATTTCTTTATCCCCTCCATTTTACTTTCCATATCTCCCCTCACATATAGCCCAATAATTCTCCATTTTTCCTCCCCATTCTTATCACCTTTTTCATCCTTCCTTCCTGTTCCTCCTCTTCCTCCTCTATCATTCCTATTTCTCTCTTTATCCCCATTAGCATCTCTCCACATGCTCTTCCTTTTTGCTCCTTCTTTTCACTGTTTGTATCTTCTGAATTCCTTCGGTAACCGTCCTCTCAGTTTCTCCCATCCTTTCTCGTCCACCCATGTTTCCATCATCATAACCACATCCTATTCCTTTATTCTCTCCCAAAACTCCTTATCCTTATTCCACAGTCCTGCCACATTCCAGAACATCACCTTCCATGTTTTCCACTCCTCCCTCTTCCCTCTTTCCTCCACTACCTTTCCTTTCCCCCTCTTCCCCTTGTCCCCTTCCTCCTTCTCTGTTCTTGTTTCTCCTTCACTGTCCTTTAATTTTTCTTCTTCTTCATCCCATCTCCAGCATTTCCCTTCTATCTGTATCCTTCCATATTTTATTCATACATTTCTTCCTTTCCCCCTCTTTTCCCTTGCTATTTTTTCAATATTCCATCTCATTTTCCTCTCTTTCCATGTTAGGTCGTCCTCCACCCTTATTCCCTTTTCTTTTATCTCTTTCCTTCTTCTCATTATCTCCCTTTTTCCTTCCATCCTTTCTACTCTTATTATATCTCTATTTCTCTCTCCTTCCCCTTTCTCATCTTTTTCAACTCCTTCACCTCCGTCTCTATTCCTAGTTCTCTTATCATTTCCCTCAACCTCTCCCCTTCTCCTCCCTTTATATCCCTTACTATTATATTCCTCCTTCTCTCCTTTCTCTCTCATTTCCATCTTCCGCTCTATTTCTTCATTCTTTCTTCATTCTATTTCATTCTTTCATCTGTTCTTTTCTCCTTTCTCTCCCCTTCTATCTCTTCCATTTCTCTCTCTTTCCTTCTCCTATTTTCCCCCTCTAACCTTTCTATTCTTTCTCTTAATTCCTCTCTATCTCTTTCCCTCCCCTCCATTTTCTTTTTCAGGTCTTCTAATTCCCTTCTTATCTCCTCCCATTGTCCTCTCACCTCTTCTCTCAGCATTTCTTTCATCTCCTTTAACCTCTCTCTCATTTCCCTCTTCCACTCCTCCTTTATTCTCGTCCACCATACCATTTCTCTCCCCCCTTTCTCCCCCTCTCCTTTTTGTAGTGACCTCATCATTCTTCTCCTATTTTGAATGCAAACTGTTGTCCCTCTTGCCCTCCTCCCTCTTCTCTCTCCTCCTTGTCTCTTTCCTCTTTCTCTCTCTTCCTCTTCCAAATCTCCTCCGTCATGTTCCTCGACCAATCCCTTCTCTCTCTTTCCGCCCCTCCTCCCTTACCCTTCTCCTCATCCATCTTCATTCACCGCTCGGCCATTCGCCTTTCTTATTTTATTTTATTCCCCGTCTCTCGCGCCCGACCTTCTAGTTCCTTCCTAGTTACTATCTCCCTAGCTTTTTCTTTCTCATCTACCAATCCCGCCTCTTCTCTTCCGTCTGGTGTATTTTCCTATCCTATTTCCTTCTTAACCCAACTTTCCACTCGTTTATATTCCTAAACTCTTGGTCTCCTCTCCTTGCTTTCCTCTTCCTAACCTCTCTTCCTCTGTCCCTTTTTTCCCTTCATTCCCTCCTCCCCTATCTTCTCTCCCGTCCTACCCACACTCCCTCCTCCACTTCTTCCCCTAGCTCCCTTGCCCCTCTGCTCTCTTTTTCCGATCCCGTTTTCTCTCTCTTTCAACCACTCTTTCACGCACTCTCTTTTCACCACACTTTCACTTTCACTCCGGAAGCGGAAGTCCTGAACCAATGATGATTAGGTAAAATATTAAATTAATACATGGTAATATCGAATTAATAATATATTTTATTTTCAGGAGATGGAGACTATCTTCTACATATTTTAAATGTAACATATATATATTTTATATGTATAATTAAAAATTGAATTAAAAATTTATGGCTTCGTAAATAAGTGTTCCCCGCGTCCTCTCCTGCGGCCTGTACGGCGTTATCTCCAGGCACGCTGCCATCTTTTTGGATCTGTAATTATAAAAACGTTATTATAAATATCATTGTCATATTTCTACTATATAAAAGGTCGATAAATATGTAATAATAAATACTTACTTTGTTTCTCTGCTTGCTCCGATTGTTGGAGTTAGTGGCGGTGGTTCCTTTATTTTCGCTCTTAATATTTTGATTTCTTCTTGCAATTTTAAAAGTTGAGCTGCTGCCTCCATTTGGTCCACTGCTTCGAGTAAATCTTGTTCCTGAAAAATTTAAGAACGATTACTTATAGATAATCAATTGATTCATAAACATGTTCACTGTAAACTGATCTAGCAAAATATGATTATATAAGAAATTTATTGGAATATAAAGTACAATAAGTCGATGTACCAGGTGTATCGGTAATTCCTTTCCAGTTTTTTCGCTAAAGAAAACACGTTATTTACAATGGATAGTTAAAATATATTTATTCAAAGTATTGGCCATTTGATTCTATACATTTTGCCCATCTCTCAGGCAATTTATGGATGCCATTCCAAAAGAACTGTTTCTCCTTTGAGCTAAACCATTCGTCGAGCCATTTTTTAACTTCTTCGAAATCGGCGAAGTACTGCTCTGCAAGCGCGTGCCCCATCGATGCGAAAAGGTGGTAGTTGGATGGAGCCAGGTCTGGAGAGTACGGCGGGTGCGATAAAACTTCCCATCCAAGTGATTTCAACACTTCTTTGACTGGTTTTGCTGTATGAGACGGCGCGTTGTCATGCTGCAAAATCATCTTATCATGTCTTTGAGCGTATTGTGGACGTTTTTCGATCAATGCACAGTTCAAATTGATCATTTGTTGTTGGTAGCGATCAGTATTAACTGTTTCTCCAAGTTTCAACAGTTCATAATATACGACACCAACCTGGTCCCAGACACAGAGCATGGTCTTGTGACCAAAGCGATTTGGCCTTGCAATCGATGGGCCGCCTTCGCCAGGTGATAATCATGATTTTTTCACTTGGGATTTTCGAAATAAATCCATTTTTCATCACCCGTTACTATTCGATGCAGAAATGACTTCCTTTCATACCTTTGAAACAGCATTTCACTGACGATTTTTCGATTTTCCAATTGCCTGTCATTCAATTCATGTGGCACCCATTTTCCCATCTTTTGGATCTTTCCCATCGCTTGTAATCGTTCACAAATTGCTACTCGGCTCACATTCAACTTTTCTGCCAATTGTTTTTGAGTTTGTGTTGGGTCTTCATCCAATAACTCCTGCAATTCCGCATCTTCAAACGTTTTCGGCCTACTAGGACGTTTTTTGTCTTGAACGTTGAAATCACCACATTCGAATTGTCGAAACCACGTTTCACATGTTCTTATGGTTGGAGCATACTCACCGTAAGTCTCTACCAGCAAACGATGACTTTCAGCGGCTTTTTTCTTTTGATTAAACAAGAAAAGAAAATGCGTGCCGCAAATGCACGTTTTCAGGCACAAAACTCGACATTTTCAAAAAATTATTAATCTATAACGCTGTTATTTTGGCGGAACGTAACTTGTGTAGTTTTGAGGTTAATGTCAGTAGAATAAAATGACATATGTATCAAATCATAACATTGCATACTTATGGCTAGTGACATCTGTTACAAAAACCGGAAAGTAATTACCGACATACCTGGTAAATCTTGTAATAATACAAAATGTATTACAAATAATAATATAATTATTCCAATTCCTATTAATGATTTGAAAAAGAAAAGTTATAAGCTTCAAGATTTGATTAATGTTACGTTCTCACATTGGTATCAATCGTTTAATAAATCATGTGAACAATGTGCAGGAAACGATATGTTGTTTAAAAATGAATTAATATTGACACAAAAAATAACTGTTATACGTATAATATTATTTTCGTTACAGGGTGATAAATTGATAAAAATAC